TATTTAATATTTGTGTTCTAGAATTTGCAAATATAGTAACTTACCAATTATAATTTGCAAATTATAGGGAAATTGTAAATTCTAGAACATATGGCATTAAGTATAATAATTTACAATTTACAATTCACAAAATTATTCATATTATATTTTATTATTAATAAAAAAAAATTATTAAAAAATTGGGCTGAGTACTAATATTTTTTTTATTTATATGCGTAATTTATCTTTTTTTTTCTGCTTATGGTTAGAATGAAGATCCAGAAAAGACTTTGAATTTACCACAATTGATTGGTAGATCTTACCAATACTATTTAGTAGTAGAAAAATGTATTTTTTATCTAGGTTCAATTTTGGCGTTCTTAGCGATAGCATATACTATTTCTTTTTTGATTAACAAATTAATTTTTTATTTCTTGGCTAAGTAAAAACAATATTAAATTTTGCCAATTTTACAAGGTTAAATATTTAATGGTAGTAACTTTTTTTTTTGGTTATTAATTCGTGATTTTATATCAATCACTAGTAATTTTTTAATTTTTTCTGATATCTGATTTTCATTCTTTAAATAATGCTTTTTATATGTATTCATTCAACATTAACATAATATATAGTATTTACCCCAAAAGTTTATTTTTTAAGATAATTTTTTTTAGAGATAAAAAAAAAAAAAATTTCTTAAAATACATAATTTTTTATTTTTTTATTTGACGCAACCATTTTCTGCAGATCTTTTGCAGTTGACTCATGGATGACGGATTAATTTTAATTTAATTTTTTATTGATATATGTTTTTTTTGACTACCTTTTTTAGTATCATTTTAATCAAAATACATAATATGGCTTAAAGCGAGGTGTTTTATGGTAGTTATAAATTTATTAATATTTTTGAAAATTCGGTTGTTTTGGTAATACAGGATAGCATCCGAGGGACGGGACAGATGGAGATCAGCAGTTACTGTAAATCTTTAAGATTAATATAAACAATGCATACATCTAAAGTAACATAAGCATTACAGTAGTGTGGTAAGATTATCTCACCATGTATAAGCTAATCATATGATTATCTAAGATTGTTAAAAAATTTTCTTTATTATTTATTATTAAGCTATTCTAATAATACACGGTATACAAAAAAATTAAAGTATGTTATATTTTTATTTGTTATGAAAAAATGCCCATAAATTATTCTTAACGTGATATCCTTTTTAAGAATATATCATCTTTTTTGACTTGATTTTTTTGATTCGGCAAAGTCCGGATCACTGTAAAAAAAAAATAAGAAAAAAATTAATATGGTTTTTTTAATGAAGTTTAAAGATTTTGATAACTTACCATTTTGAAATCGAAGCCGGTTTCCTATATAAAGCATTAATTAAATATTTCATTAAATTCATTAAAATCAAAAAAAGAAAAAAGAATAAGAAAAACTTACCGCCAAAGCTGTCTTAAATCCACAATTACAAAAGAAAAAAAAACAAAGGAAAAGATAATATATATTTTGTTTCTTTAAAGATAAGAAATGTAAATTAAGAAAAATGGACTACTTATCGTAACTTGACGTTCAACCAGATGTTAAACTACAAGAGTAGAAGAATGAAATATTATCAAATATTTTGTTTTGTTAAAAGTAAAAAAAAACAATAAAAAATGACTTAAACATCTACCAAAACCCTATATCCATAACAAAAGCTACAAAAGAAGTATTAATAAACGTTTCGTTAGAGAGACAATTCATAAAAATCTTATCCTCACTAAAATCCATGATTATAAATATTTAAAAAAATTGCCTAAAAAAAAATTAAAGCATTAGAAATATTTTGTTAGTTTTGTTAAAACAAATAACAAAGAAAAAACATAGCTCACCTAAATCAGACGCGTCTAGACTGGGAATAAGCCGTTTAAAAATGAAAAGATAATAGCTTTCCGACCAATGCTCTCCTGGCCATCTAATAAAAGAAGATAAGATGTTAGTAAATATATAGCTGAAAGAATTAATTTAAAATAAAAAAATACTTTACCTATCTGTATCTGCATTCGAGTGACTTAAAGAATCACTTACGAAAGAAAAAGTAAAAAGAACTTTCTGTTAGTACTAACAGTTCATTAAAAATAAATTCTGAATAAAGCAAATTTCAAATTCCCTAAGAATTTAGAATTGTGGTAAATTACCTAAAAGGAAATCCAATCTAAGTGCTAAAGTTGAGACGTCTAATACTCGAATAACAAAACCCGTTTACAAAAGAAAAATTGAACTGTTAGAAACAGTTCGTTGCGCCAAAGTTTTCATTTATCCAGAGGCTTGGAATGTTTTCATCGAATTTCGCGTCCAAAAAGTTGAGAATCTGCCCGTTCCAGAGTTTCAGACCAAAATCCAAGTCCAACTAAAGAAAAAAAAAAGAAAAAGATCGTTGGTAACATGTCCATAATAAAAAAAACACGAATTCACCTTTTCAACTTACCATTCCAGAATTTCAAGCCGAAATTTGAGTCCAGGCGAAAAAATATATATATTTTTTTAAAATTAAAAAACCAATAAAAATAGTTTTTTTAAAAAAAAATCATTCGGTTAAAAAGGTTTCTTTTTAAAAATTATTCGGTTTAAAAAAACTGAAGATAAATAATTTTTTTTATTTAAAAAATCGTTAAAAAAAGCTTCAAAAAATGATTATCAACGAATCGATAAGTTATATGATCTATGCTGAAGTCGCAGTTATTTTTTGTAAACAGAAAATTTGTAAGTCGAAATCTAACAAAGGTCGTGAGAAAATCACCTTGATTTTATAAAGTAAGACTATAAGAATAGCGTTTAATAAAATACAGCTATAATGTAATCATACTCACTTGGCTTTTTAATATAGTCTTCAAGTTTAATGTCATTATGAATTTTTTATTATCGGTTATTTTTTCATTACAAAGTTTTGTAAAAAGTTGTTGTCAAGTTCTTGACTTTTTAGTTTATTAATTTATCTGCAAAATAAAAACTTTTCAGTTTCCATTCTTACAGCCTGTCAGCAGTGGTTTCCGCTTTGGTGGAAGACATCTTTCTTTTCTAAATACGAGACTATAGTGATAAAGTACTTCGCTGCTCACATGTATGCCCCAACTTTTGACGCATACAGTACAAAAGTCTGGGGAATGTTGGCTGAATTTCTACATGTTCTCACACTTTATATCTTACTGAAAAAGAAGGAAATGAGATATAATATAATTAATGTCTATTGTTTGATGCCAAGAAATCTTTGAAAACACATGAATATGGAACTTTCATACCTTTTCACATGGGGATCTACCGTAAGACGCAAATTGGACTAACTCCGCCTGGCGATCTTGAAATTGAGAAGTCCTCAGCCTTCATAACATATACTCTTGACACTTATAAGGTAGCTCCGTGTTGCTGTGGATCTTTTCACATTATTCTTACATTCGGTTGGGAAAAAATAAAGGTACTGGTTAACTTGAATTTTTTTTTTTTGAAAATCACTGTCTGGTGATTTATTTATTTATTTTTTCTTGTCGTACAAAAGTACATGGTTTGTCATGTGTGACATAACATTTTATTTAAGCCATTTATAATAATAAAAAAAGCCGAAAATTAATAAAATTTATTATGTAATTTGTAATTTTCTAAGCTCATAGACAATATACAAATTAAAATTTTTGAAACTACTACTAAAATACTAAGATTTTCATTTCGCTTTTGTGAAAATATTTTTTTGTATAATTTTCTCGTGATTTACCCCTGCAGGTGATACGTCTCACTAAATGGTAGTGGTGCATATAGACCAGACTGAAGGGTTACAACATTGTATCACTCTCAACTGCAAAAGGAAGTAAAGGAAAAAGCTTGTGCTCCTGATTCATGTCATATCGAGTAAACACAGAATGTTATTAACCTGTTAGAAGGATTATAAGTTGGAATAGAACCTATTTGTATTTTTTCAATTAGAATTAATATTTTTTCAATTATAATTAACTAAATTAAAATTTAATTAGGCGACTCTTGGGCAAAGGAGAGTATAATGTGTGTTATTTTTTATTTTAGATATTACTAATAAAAAGAATACGCGATTTTTTTCTATGCAGCCATAGTATTTTTTGTCGATGATTATATATTTGACACAGTTATTTTAATATAAAATTGTCGATCCCAAAAAATGGATTAGTTTGTAATTGGGAGTACGACCAAATTGTTGTAGTTGTTGTTACAATTTGGAAAACGTGAACTTTGCATTGCACAATTATCTATATATGCGTTCATTTGGAGGCTTAGCTCTCACATTGATAAAGAACGTTGTTAAAATTTTATGTTTGAACTTCTTTTGAAATGTTACATTTAGTTGATCATAAAAAAGGGAGTGATTATTATTCATGGTAGTTTATCCTTCAAGATTATTTATAGATATCAAAGGTTATTTTGGAATATATCTAAGACCATAATGTTTAGTATGATGGTAAATACAAAAGCACTTCTCATAAGTATTTAGATTGTATTTAAATTTTATCCAATTAACTGTATTTCGAAACTTTAATTATGAATTAAATATAAAGTTCTTCCAACATCTATAGTATTTTTTTTTAATTTTACATTTGCAATATTATCTATAAAAATACTCCGCTCATATAATATATGCAGGTGAAATTTTGGTATTTGACAATTAAACCAAGATATATGCAGGAGAATATCACAATAAAGAATTTGTAACACATAAACGTGGTGCAATTGTTAGTTTATTTATACAGGTAGTCTAAACGGTATAAATTTTTTGATATTCTTACAAATTTCTTGATAATTGTATAAAACCTTGGTATAATGAACGTCAAGCAGAGCGAAAATCCATTTTTTCCCACAATATATTATTATATTGTATTACTACATATTTTTGGTCAATGATAAAAAGAATGTACGTAAATTTTTAGTTAGCAGGTATGATGTAGTAAATTGACTGATATTAAAAAAAAAATTATAATTTAAGAAGCTATAATTTTATTTAAGCATTATATATCATTATAAGAGCTAAGAAAAAATAATACTCATTTATTATAATAATAAGATTATAATATATAAAAAAAGCTAAAAATTAACTTCTCAATAACAAAATTTACTATGTAATTTGTAATTTTCTAAACTAATAGACAATATACAAATTAAGGTTTTCGAAACTACTATTCAAGTACTTTCTTCTGCTTCCATTAGAACATTATCCTCCTTTTGATTTTCATATCGCTTTTGCGATCTTGTTTTAACTTTGGTATTTTTGGCTGCTTTCTCTAAGCGTTGGATTGATAAATCGGATAATTCCATCTTTCTTTTGCTATTTTTTTTGGTTGATTTTTCAGAGATTGATGAATCCTTTGCCTCAATCTTTGAAGCAGACGTGATTGGTGATTTTTGTTCTTCTTCACTTTTGTTATCTATTTGTTCATCATTATCAATAATTTCAATTGTTTTATTCTTTTTTTGTGGGGGAGACTGAAGTAATTTTTTATTACTTTTAAATTTAGCATGTGGCAATTCTTCTTCACTCTTATCATCTATTTGATCATCATTATCAATAATTTCAATTGTTTTATTTGCTTTTTGTTGGGAAGAATGAAGGAATTTTTTACTGCTTTTAAATTTAGCGGTACGTGAAAAGGGGATTGTAAAGTATTATTTGATTGAGTCTGTGATGGATTGTCAGAAAATTCATTTAATATATCAATTTCTTTTGCTTCAACGAAGGGAATTTCATTTTCATTAAGATCAAAAAAGCCAGAAATAAAAATCAACTTTCCAACTTGTAATCTTGATGCGAGCTTAATAAAGCGCGAGGTAGGCCCTGCCTCATACACAATATGTATTCTGAAATTAATTTTTTCTTTACTTGCAAAACTAAAATTATTATATTCTAGCAAATTCACTCCAAATTTGCAATCACTCCCGTTTTGTTCCACTTCTTCGTATATTCTCCCAACAAAGGAACCATAAGGCAAATTAATATTATCATGATTTTCTGACGTTGGAATTTTAAACGCTGCAGAGACTAGCACCTATATTAATAATAATTTTTTTACATTAAAAAAATTATGCAGTAGTGCTGTATAAAGAAAAAATAATATTCTTAATACTTACATATATATTTCCACGGTTAAAAACAAACTTTCCACATAGTAACCCATGATCACCGACTTGCAAATCATGTAGGAATAGAGGAGAAAGCTGTTTTTTAAAGTATCCATAATGGAAAGTTTTAAACACTCCAGGTTCAGACATATAATGTGCTAATCCGGTGACAAACCCTCCATCTAACCCTTTAGATTTTATTTGACATAGAATTGTAATAGAAGAAGGCATTTTGAAAAATATGTTTGTTTAAAAAATGAATAAATGATTTTTATTCTGATTTGAACACGCTATCAACTCGCCATTTTTATATAAAAAACCTGTGCTGATCACTCATCGAATGAAAATAATAAACCATTTATATAGCAATTTATTTTAATTTAATAAGAAAGAAGAATAAATAAAATAGATTATAATAAAACAACCGTTTTTATTGTTGTTAATTGGCTATTAAAATTTTAAAAAATTCATATTAATTATTGTTTATACAATTTAATTTACAATATTAGTAGATTTATTGATTATTTTTGGAATTATGGCTTTGGAAAAAAAATTTTCGTGATAACATTATAATAAAATGAAAATAATGGAAAATTTTACTGCTTGATTGTTGTCTATTTTTTTGGTTCAAAAATAAGTATCTGAAATATGTGATTATTTTAAATAATATGAAATAATACGAACAGATTGTTTTTACTTGATAAAGCATTTATTTAAAATTTATCATCCAATTGTTGATCATTTTTGGAATTATGATTCTGAAAAAAAAAATTTTCATAACAAAATGATAATTTTACTATCTAATTGTTTACGGCTTTGGGAAAAAATTTTTCATGATTACATTGTAACAAAACAATTCTAATATCCGATTGTTGATCATCTATATCTATTTATCATTTATCTATATATAACATATAATATAATATAATATTAATATACTAAAAAAATACCTGTTAAAATGGTGATTTGATATTTGTACGGGTTAATCTAAATTTCTGAAATGCATGATTTACCTGCGCCAGTTCTGCGCCTATTTTTTGTTAGCTAGGGTTAGCTAGATCGGATAGTTTGATCGGCGGATCCACTTTACCTATGGACAATAATTTGATCAGACAATTTGATCAGCAGATCCTGAGGTTGATTACTAATGTATAATAAAAATTCTTTAAATTTCCCAGTGACCGATGTTTGCTAATACTAATGGGTTGTAGATCAGTATACTGTCTTTAGTAATTTTTTTTGCTTTTCGGTAACTGACGTTTGGCTTATACTAATACGTATAATAAATAATTGATCTTAACTCTTTAGTAATAATAATAATTCACAAGAGATTTTTTTGGGTTTTTTTTCGAGAAATTTTTCTTTTTTGCGATAATAGGCAGATTTTTTTTTTCAAATTTTTTTTTTTTTTTTTTTTTTTTTGCAATACAATTTCATAAAACTTTCACTACATTATAAGTTATAATACGTAATAATTATCAAAACAATCATACAAAAATATTATATGTAAAGAAATCTTTTATTTATTCATATAGAACATAAATATAATTGTATTTATTAATAATATAAATAAATTGTAATTATAATTGTATATAGTAATATAAATTGTAAATATAATTGTATTTATAAATTGTGCCATTTCAATATTGTGAAATATTCCAAACTATAAATAAATAATAACCGATAATTAACATTATAAAATTTTAATATACCCGTTACAGCTAGTTTTTAACTGAAAATATTTCATGATAACTGAATACCATAATAATGAGATGACAATAATGAAAGTTTTACCATTCGATTGTTGTCTATTTTTTTTGGTTCAAAAATAAAAAAAAAAAATTTTCTGAAATATGCGGTTAACTTTAAATAGTAATACGAACAGATTGTTTATTACTTGATAAAGTATTTATTTAAAATTTACTATCATCATTTTTGGAATTATGGCTCTGGAAAAAAATTTTTTCACAATTACATTGTAATAAACAAATCTACTGTCCCGATCGTTGATCATTTTTTAATTCTGGAAAAATTTTATAACTGAACATTATAATAAGACAACAATAATGAAAATTTTACCATTTGATTGTTGTCTATTTTTTGTTTCAAAAATAAAAAAATGTTTTTGAAATAAGTGATTAACTTTAAATAAATAATGCGAACAGATTGTTATTACGTGATATGGTATTGATTTATCCAATTGTTGATCATTTTTAGAATTACAGTTCTGGGAATAATTTTTTTACAATAACATTATAACAAAACAATTCTATTATCCGATTGTTAATTATTTTTAGAAAAAAAATTTTTCATGATAATATTATAATAAAACAATTCTACTACTCAGAAAATTTATTATTATAATAGTATTATAATAAGATGATGATAATGAAAATTTTACTCGTTTTTTTTAGTTCAAAAATAAAAAAAAATGTTTTTGATTATGTGATTAACTTAAATAAATAATACAAACAGATTGTTTATTACTTGATATAACATTTATTTAAAATTTATCATCCAATTGTTGAGAAAAAAAATTTTCAGGATAACATTATGACAATCTAAAAATTTTACTATCTAATTGTTGATTTATTTTTGGAATTATGGCTCTGGAAAAATAATTTTTTACGATAACATTGTAACAAAACAACAATTCTATTATCTGATTGTTAATCATTTTTAGAATTACTACCCTGAAAAATTTTCATGATAGCATTATAACGATAATGAGATGATGACAATGAAAATTTACTGTTCAATTGTTGTTTATTTTTTTTGGTTCAAAATAAAAAAAAATATGTATCTGAATATTTTTAAATAAGTAATATTAAAATTTATCATCCGGTTATTGATCATTTTTGGCTGACAAAAAATATTATTCAGTTTTCACATGATTTGCCAAAAATTTTATCCCACAATTTTTTAGCAAGAGAGGACATTCTATAAAAGTGCAATATGACCTTATGGGTGGGTGGGTGGCGCGTCACGTTATTGTAATGACTTGAAATGATTGACATGTCATGATAGGTTAACGTTAACTTAACGTTAACATAAGATTAGTTTTTGAGTGATTTCCATTTTAAGATGCTGATCCCCCATCTTTGGTATTGATTTGCTGATTATATAAATACATTTGAATCAAGCTTTTCTATTTTAGTACGATCGACAACCAACAAATCTTTTAGTGTTTTAATTAGATTTGTTCGTGCGAAGATTTTTAATATGAAAGATATTAAAGATCAGTGATAATATATTTGAACAAATTAAAGTTTTTGACCATCTTTATTTAACAGAAGAACAAAATTTGTTAATTAATAAACCAATATTAAATAAAGAATTAAAAGTACGTTATAAAGATTATGGTTTGTGTAAAGAATGTAAGCAGCCCAAAATTACTTGTGGTTGGTGTCAATGTAAATTGCAACAGAATTAGACTAGTTTCTAGTGGAAACAATGTAGTTGATAAATTTTTTCAAAAATTACAACTTAAAGCTAAATATTATATTAAAATTTTGAAGTGGATCGAATATGATAGGGTTGAAAATATTGAATATTTGGAAAGGGGATAAAGCGATTTGAAAAGATGGACATATAAAATATTGATTTTGAACATAATCGGTAAAAAAAAATATGTTTACATTATTCAAAATATATTACAGCAGAATTTTTAAACGAAGTCAGTCATTTATTTGTATTATTTTAGATGTCTTCCATTTATAAATATTACTATTCTTTTTTTTTTTAAATTGTAACATATATTATTACGATTAATTCGCATTGTAATTCGCTGTCATGGCTTTACTAAGGATCCAAATTAAATAATTTTATCATGGTAATAGAACTTACAGAAAATGGTACTTTAAGACAATACTTAAATAATAATTTAATTCAATGAATTTGGATGAAAAATTAGATATTTTGTGCCAATTCGCAAGTGGCATGCCTTCATTTGATGATATTCATAATAAAGGACTAACTCATCTTAATTTTCATGGTGGTAATATAATAAAGTAGAAATATTACTTATTACTGATTTAGGATTATATCAACTAGCAAATGTAAAATCTTCATAAAGTAAACGAAAAAAGTATTTAGAGTATTACCTCATGTACACTTGAAGTTTTAAGAAAAGAATATACTCGAGAAAGTGATATGTATTTATGTCTTAATACTTGTATTTCTTTAAATGACTTTGAATTCTTATAATAATTTTCTTTCATTAAATAACAAAGGCATTTCAACGCCACATTTTTAAATTCATATTACAAGGGATATTATTTTCATTCATGTATAAGTAATAAACACTTAGTACTAGGACTGGGTTAATTTATACAATAGATTTATTTATATACTGAGTAGTTTCATCAATACATATCAAGTTTTTATTATAAAAAGAATATTCCAATAAAATATGTAGTAATAAAGAAAATAAATAGTAGCAAATAATAGATACTAATAAAGAAATTTATATTCTGAATAATTGTATATTTTCTTTCTTTTCTTTACTTTAGTTGTTTCTATCCATAAATTGTTAATGTTATTAATAAAATTAAACATGATGTAAATTAATAACTAGGTAGTGAAATCTATTGGTTCTATGGATTCTATAGGATAAAGATAATTTTACATTAGTAAGCATTTCAAGAATTATTTTGCGAAAATAAGCTAAGACATGAATTACCTGAATATTCAAATGAATTATCGCCATCATCCTTACTATCAACAGCATTTTTTGGTTCTGGAAGATTTTTAAAGTCTAAAAGTCTACTTGTGTAAACTGCTTGAGGATTTGTAGTATATGAAAGGGTATTACCAGTATATAATAATGAAGAGGAAGTTAATTTCTCATTAATTTTATCTGCTTCTTCAATTTGCTTATTGATTATGTCATGGTCACGTCTACTTGAAAAATAACTTGAAATATATAAATTATATAATAAATCATATAATTCATTTGCTTTAGGTCGTTTTAAAGGATCAGCATCCCAACATTGTTTAATTATATTTAAAATTAGTTGAGGAATTTTATAATCAGATTTTGGTCTAAGTCCTTGACAAATGCTAATAGCTAAGAATTTATCATGAGAAATATCATGATAAGGAGGAAACCCTGTACAGACTTCATATGCAATAATTCCAAATGAATAAATATCACTTTCTTGGGTATATTCTTTTCCTCTTAAAACCTCAGGTGCTACATAAGGTAATACTCCATAAATTTTTTTATTTTCATCTTGAGAAGGTACTACATTTGCTGGTCGGCATAATCCTAAATCAGTTATATAAGTAATATTGCTTGCACCATTTAATATATTACCACAATGAAAATCATGATGAATTAAATTTTTATTATGAATAGCAACAAGTCCATTTGCAGTCCTTTGTAAGATATCCAACTTTTCTGCCCATTTCATTGAATTAAAATAATTATTTAAACGTTGTCTTAAACTTCCATTTTTTGCATAATCCATTACCATCATAAAATTATTGGATTCCGGATCTTTAGTAATGCCAAAACATTGAAGTACATAAATTGAATCAGTCTTTATATGTAATTCAATCTAAAAAGAATTCATAAAAGTTAGTTTATCATTTACATTATTTTATAAATTAGAAAGTTTCAACATATAACAATATCTTATATAAGTAACTCACTTCTCTTAAAAATTCGGCTGTAATATTTTGCGAGTTATGTAAGCATTTTAAGACAACTGAAGAATTTACATTAATTCTATTCCATTGATTATTTTCAGAATCCCATTCTTCTATATTTCCATCTTTCCAAATTGCTTTATAAATAGTTCCAAATCCTCCTTTAGTCAAATATTCAACATTTTCAAATCTATCATATTCAATCCATTCTAAAATTTGTTCGTATTTACTAGCTTTAAGTTGTGCATTTTGAATAAACTGGTCAACTTCATTATTTCCACTAGTCCAATTTTTGAAATTTTGTTGAAAACGTTTGGCATTACATAGCTGACACCAATTATAATAAGTTTTGGGCTGATTACATTTATTACATAAACCATAATTTTTATACCGTTTTTTCAATTCTTCATTTGATATTAACTTATCAATTAACGAATTTTGTTCATCCGTTAATTTCCGATGGTTAAAATTTTTTATTTGCTTAATCACATCACCACTGAGCGTAATTTCTTCCATATTTGGATGTTTAAATAGAGTAAAACAAAAGGATTTTTTTTAAAAAGACAAAAATCACAACATTATAAACGTATTACATTCGCACAGCAGCGATCGACAAATCTTATCTTAATTTGGGTCAAAAGGGTGCTCAAAAAATCAGCTGATGATCACAAAAATAAAATACTCCGTAATACAGATTTCATAAACTTATTATTTGTGATTATCATTATATTGTACAGATATATTTGAATAACTTATTTTATAAAATTTTTAATTGGAAATCCGGCACTATTTTTATAATTGATTTTGGGGATAAGGTACTTAGTAAAATTTACTAATAGTTTGAATCTACTGTGCATAGAAATAATTATAAATTCGAAGAATTGATTTTTTGAGCTTATAGGATAGTACCTTTTATATTTAAGAAAATCTTTTTTTTTTTTTTTTCCAAATTTAATCTTTATTAATATTGTGATAATTATATCAAAACAACCTATCACAATCTAGACGCTATGCATCTGCTAATAAAGTAACTATCCTATATTTACATAAAAACAAAACAAAATATAAATAACATAACAAAACCAAATAAACTAACTATCTAACATTTCCTGCGTTAGCATTTTTTAATTTCAATTTAACCATTTTTTAATCAAAATTTATACTAACCCTTTCACCATTAACACGTCCCTTACAAAATACTTACCACCCTTTCTTACTTTTTTTCTTTGATTTTCCACCTTTGCCACCCTTTTTACCTTTTCCTCCTTGTATTCCCTGCTTTTTATCATTTATCTTTAAATCTTTAGTTTCTGATCCACTATCATCATCAGTATTATCACTACTAACCATGCCTCTATTTAACTCATCCTTATTATTTCTCTTCTGTCCAACTTTTTCGTCTACCACAACTTCCTTTTTAATTTCAGGTGGCAGGCGTGATGAACAAGCTTCATTAACTTTATTATATATTTCCAAATCTTCTTGAGACACTGAAACCTCTCTACTATGATTATCTTTGCCCGTAATCTCACTTCTATCTTTCATCCCTTTGTTAGTCATTTCATTAATCACATGATTATTCACGTCCAAAAGTTTTCTCAATTTATCACCTGATTTTGAAATATCACCCTTAATCATCTGTTTAGCATTAGCTTTTTGTATTTCTTGGAACAAAACTTCAGTTTGTCTATCTTTATTTACACTGCTAATGCCAAAATCTATATCATCTAACTTTAAACCCATCATACCAGCGATCTCTCTTGCAGTCTTTATAACGTTCTCTTTGAACAAATTCTTCTCTTTTATCTGGTCCTCTATTGCTTTTGCCACTAACTCATTCACATCTTCTTCTGTGTATTTAAACTTAGAAATTATCTCTTTATCTTTTTCTCTTTGTTCATTAATCCGTTCCTCTAATTTTTGTGCAACCATCAACTCTAAGTCTTTTTCCGTGTATTTATATAACGCCAACATATCATCCACATCTTTTTCCGTATATTTATACTTACCATAATCAACAAAATCTTAGGTCCATTCATGCTTTCTGATCAAATGATCAACTGCTTTCTTCACCTTCTCTTCTGCTTCTTTTTCTGTATACTTGATTCTAGAGTCTCTACTATTAACTGCCTTTGCAACTCTCTTTTCCAAATCCGCTTCTGTATACTTAAATCTTGACAATTTTTCTTTAATCAACTCTTGCTCTTTTATTAGATCATCAGTTTCCTTTACAACAATCTTTCTCACATCATCATCCGTGTACTTGAACTTTAACAGCTCTTCTCTAATCAACTCTTTCTCTTTTACCTGATCATCAATTGCCTTTTCCACAATCCTTCTCATATCATCTTCCAAATATTTAACCTTGTCAGAAATCTCCTCTTTATCAATATTATCCACAACCATTTCATTTTCGTCCTTTCCTTTCACGTGACTTGACGTACTGCTCCTACTTGAAATAAAATAATCAAAATTCTTTTTTTTTTTGTGGAAATATCCAAGCTTCCTGTAAACCCTGACCTAAACTCTCAGTTACTGCATGTTCTAACTTGTTCTCATTCGCAAAATATACATATATAAACTTCTTTCCTTTAATAAAAATAATCTTCCCATAAAACCAATCTCCATGCCCTTTATAAAATTCCAAAATCTCTTCGTCTGTCAAATCTTTCAAATCTGCCTTAACCTCTTTGTAAGCTGTATACTTAAACCTTTCTCTAATATCTGACAACTTCATATACTCTGGAAACCATCTACTAAACCAATACATTTTATCGTTCATTTGTATATTAATACTATGTCTACTTCTCCATTCAGCATCCACTTGATCCAACTTTAAAAATATACATAACTTAACTGACTTATACTTAAACTGCTTTTTAATTGACATCCTTCTAACTATACCTAAACTTCTAAAAACTTTAATAATATCTTCATCTTTCCATCGTGCTGGAATGTTGTACACAAGTATCTTGATCGGCGTCACCTGATATAATGACGTATCAATTTTCTCAATCGGCAGCTGATCAACCTGAATTTCAGTAACACTTTTTTCCTGATTTACTCTATTCCTTTTACTGTAATTTTTAGTGCCTACCCTAGCCTTTTTCAGCTCTATCCTCGTTGATTCAACTTCTTTATGGCAAGCCGTACTGGTCAAAAGGTTGATAACTTTTCATCATGTTTTATGATGATTTTTCATCATGTTTCATGATAACTTTTCATCATGTTTCATGATGACTTTTCATCATGTTTTATGATAACTTTTCATCCTGTCTCTTATA